GTATATAGGGGTGTGTAGGGGAGGGACACACGCCCCTAAATGCTCGTCTCTTCCAAGTCGCCCACTTTAAAATTTACGCCCAGGTAGTTTAAAATCACCTCATAGCATCTTATTATTTGGCCAGCTAGTGCCTCCTTCATCATCGAGCTCTCCCACTTAAATTTAATCATGGAGGAATGATTTGATACTATAATAATGGACACTTCGATTTATGATATAATTAGATCTAGATAAGATTTCTTACAGCATCGGACATACTTTTAACTCCAATCCCTAAAGACTTTTTCAATAAATCCAAGCATAGATAGACAGACATATTTGTAATTATCTGCCCAAATCTTTCGTAGAATCTGTTTGGGAAGAGCAGTAGACTAATTACTCCATTATTGCTCTCGGTTTTTTGAGTTAATTGCAAAGGCAAATTGAATCGCTGTCGTTGGTTAATCTCCCTTGGTGAATTTTGATCGGTTTGATAACGAATTGATGATTAGAAAAATACTGTTTAATAAAACAGAAATGCAAATTTATCTTATGGTAAACTTTTAACAACTGAATCCATGAGTAGATCAACATTGAATTTGTTATTTATTTATATTATCATAAATAAATAAATTACTATTAGATGTTCGATCCAGCAGCATTGTGACCATAATGTTTATATAGATAAGGTATCAATCTTAAAAAGTAAAGGTAAGAAAATAAACCATAACTCGCAGCGCGTCATTACGCTGAATTGTGTATGGGCGTACGTGTTCTGTGATTATTGTAGTAGCCGTACATAGAGGCGCTTAGTTCACATCATTCCTCACGACAGGTTCTGAATTCAACGATAGCATCAGTGTCACACTCTACTCTTCCGGAATATTCAATGGGTTCTTTAAAGTACACATGGAGACTAGTTAGATGTATACACTGGACCTTCCCGAGTAGATTTAGTTTATATTCTAAGTACAATAAGTAAATTTCATTCTTAAAGAACGAAAATTCGCTTTTATAAAAGTGACTTTTATTTTAAAATGTGTAAGAAAAAAATATCTGAATAAAATATCACACCATTCATTAAAAACATATACCGGTAACAATGCTCTCAAAAACAATAAGAGGTCAATACATATATTTAAAACGATTATGGATAAAGATATTTTGTTGTAAGATTTGACACCAAGACTTCCGATCTATCAAAGCAACTGAGTATTTTGTGCTGTTTGTGAGGTTCAACAGTGATGAACATGTACCGTAACTCCATTGTTGATGAACCGTGGTATACGTGTATGTAGAAACACCTCCAGTGTTGATATCATTTTGATTGCAGCGTTTAATTCCATCATATACTATTGCTGTCACTTGGATGTACATGACACTTTAGACAATCAAATGTTTTCATTGAAGCACACTGGATTACGCAATACGCAGTCCTCCTCCAATCAAATCATTTGTCGTAGTTACAAACATTTTATAAGACCTCTTTTTTATGTGAACTCATCTCACATATTGTCGTAAGCGGGCTCAGTTTGGCGTTATCTGCATCATTTTGAAAAACAGAAGAGGAAAATGAAGTCCATAATATTAATTCTCCTGGTTGCGGCCTCGCTTTCGACTGTTTTAGCACAAGGTAAATATTAATTAAAAATTATATTTCCGGATTATTTGTCTTTGGTTTGGATAGACTTTTATATCATGAAATACAGACATGGTAACTGCACATTTATTGAAAGCATATTGCCTCCATAGTCAAAAAAAAATGTTTACTTTGTATTTGAACCTTGGTCAAACATTATGAGAATATTGCTTGCGCTATTAATCCAAATATTATTATTATGTTAAATAAGAATTATTTTGAATTTTAAAAGGTGAATGGGACTGCTATGACAAAATGGAAGGAAAATGGTACAAAGATGGCGACGAAAAACCAAGTGGAGCAGATTGTGGAGATTGGTAAGTCGAGAATATTAACTGGAAATAAAATCCCAACAAAAATTAATGCTTGTTATGATATAAAAAATGTACATTATTTAGATATAAGCAGTGGCGGATCCAGCAATTTGTAATAGAGTGACTTTTCACAAATAGGGTCACTCATCTCAGGGCCACCATGGTTAGGGCTGAGGTAAGAAATTTTATGATTATGGCACCTCTAGATGGCCGAAAGTGGCACTAGCAGACTTAAATTTAAATACAATTTTATTATTTTTTTCTACATTGTTTTATTTATTTTTGGAAAATGGCGGCCCACCCCCTTGAATCTGTCACTGATTTTTCTCCATTACATCCGTTACTTGTGTTTTGTTTACCATCAATTCCATACGAGACATCTGACTGCCATTGATTGAGGCTTTTGAAGTTCTGACAACAGTTTACAGTTTCCACTTTTTTTGGTGTTGTGGAAAACTGTTGTGCGTGTTCAGAAAAAATTAAATATTTTGATGGGTTGGGATGGGTTGAAGATCCTCAAGATTGGTAGCGCTAGACTCTTAAACTGTTGTTTTAAAGGATCTATGACCGAGAGATAAGGGAGTCTATAAAGGAATGGTGCGCACGAAAAAAAGAAAACAAAAAATAAATAAATAAAAAAAAAACAAAAAAAAAAACAAGAATATCTGCTTTACGGGGAGTTAATTTTAATTTTAGTTATATTGTATTGTCTATGTTAATCTTATCATACAAAGCTGTAACAGATATGAATTTGTGATTATCGTCCAAGTGATGACGATACGCTATGTGTATATTGTGCAATGCCTTTAGGCACAACACATTCTAGTACATACCTTTTTCACATAATGCGTGTGCATGTAATATGAACTGGTAAAATATAAATTGATAATATAGTATCGCAATAACCTTTGTTCTTTTCATTTCATTCTGGTTTATTATAAAAACAACAACATTTGACATTGCAGTATTGAACTGAATTGCGTCAAACCAACAAAGATAAAGCTGAAACAAACATTCACAAATCAAAGCACACTATTGTAATATACATGCAAAATGTTTAAAAATAAATGTTTTTTAATGTTATAAATGATAAAAATTACAAAAATCACAAGCAAGCACATGAGTCATGATAAATCTAAGTAAAATTTGTACAAAATAACATGCACACATATAGGCACACTATAGGAAACAAATTAAAAAATATATAAAATACTTTGGCGAATCTGCAACTAACCATTAAGCTTAAGTTACTGTCTAATGGAGACACGGATTAATTGGAATCATTGTTAATTAATGATACAAAATTAGTAGTGCGTATGTATTGTTGATAGTATTAAAAGTCCATTAGTGTCCGATTAGGATCAATACGGTTTTCGGTTTTAAAAAAAATCAGTAGAAGGCTGCGATTGGTTCTGTATCTTATACGTCATAATTTCGGTAGACTGTACCTAATGGATTACAGAATTTATACATTACTATGTCTCGATGGACCAGTGAAATTAACTGAGTGATTGTCCATAATTTTTGTTGTCAAGAATATGCTAAATTTAATGTCGACAAGCTTTGGTGTAGCACGTTAGGTTTAGTACACAAAACTTTCATCACCCGTATCATATTATTCTTATCTTCATCGCTACCCCAAAAATTATCATCATCGTCATCATCATCGTCATCATCGTCGTCGTCATCATCTTCATCATCATCATCATCATCATCATCATCATCATCATCATCAACAATAACAACAGTATCGTCATAATTAACACAGTTCTCATCATCATCATCATAATCATAATAATAATAATGAAATCAGTTTTGATTAACTTCTATATTGTGATTCTTCTTATTAAATTTATTTTCACCATCCTCCTACCCATCAATAAATCATCCTCAAAATAATAATAATAATAATAATAATAATAATAATAATAAAAATATCAACACAATTTCACTTATATTGGATATATTTGTATGATGAATGATTTATATATAAATAGAAACCTGTTCTTATAATAATTTTATTTTCATTATCAGCATTTCAACACCTCCCTGACATTGTCATAGTCATAGCCTTTCTCTCAGTTATCTTAAAAACTATTTCGATTGTCATATTCTGACGATCATGATTATCATCATTATCATTATCATTGTCCTCAACATTACCATCATCATCATCATCATCATCATCATTATCATCACTACCATTACTGTACGTCGATTAATTATATTTTGTCTTCACAGCGTGTGTTGGGCTGGCTACTGGGCATGTCCATCCTGCAGTAAGTAAGCCTACATCATTTCACAACTTATTTATTATGACACACACACACACACACACCCACTCACCCTCCCTCCCCCCGCACACACATATATATA